GAAAGTGACAATAACCTGCAGTATGTTAAGATAGATTTTTATTTGGGTGAACTGTGCTTGATTATTCTAGTAAGAGACGCGCTTCTTCTAATCAATGAGTTTTATCGCCCCAATTCAGCTTCCAACTGCGTGGCATTGGACATTGACCTTGGGTGCCAATTTCATAAAAACGAATCGCATGCTGCAACATTTCTAAGACGCGCATTTTCGATGTCCCCGACGACATCACATCAAGTTTTGTGTGAAATTGTACAAGAGGAAATGAGGATTCACGGTGACTGCTGGCCGCTATTTGTATTTCCCTACATCCAAGCATGGAATATATTTGTCAAGGTGCACTATGGCGCATATTCAAAGATTTTTTTTACTTCGCTGTGTGATTTATTTGCTTACTGCTTGCTTACAGAAAATGAAGGAGCTGGGAATCTCTGCGCTTTCCGCTTGCGTGAAATTCTACAAGGAAAGAACTGGATTGATGCTTCTTTAGACGGTTACGCAGCGATCCTTTTAGCGATTTGGAACTGCGTCAATTTTGTCGCGGATACCGATACAATAGCGTGCCATGATTCTTTTCAATCCGACAGCCCTTTTCTTGCACTCCTTAAAGTGAATCAGTTGCTAAGGCAAGAAAAATATACCGAGTCCATGTCGTATTTTGGGGCGATCTTCAGCAGTAGATATAATTCAACCTTCGCGCAATCTCATATTGTGTCCCTTTTGACAGGTTTGACTGTGCGCACTGCCCTGACGCACCTCCAGAGTGTGCAATCTCAAGCGATAAAGCTCCGCCAACGACTAAAGTATGCTGCGGTGGAAGTGAGGGAGGCGAAGGATTTCGAGGAAATTGATAAGATAAAAGACATTGCTGCAAGACTCTCTGTTGAACTGTGTACCATGAAAGAAAATAGGAGGCAATTATGCCAATTTATTCACCGCGCGCTATATTTGTCAACAAATTTCTTAGATACCACCGTCAACACACCGGTCGAGGTGCAATGGGCGATGCGTTTTCTTGTCTTGACATGGAACGCTGCCTTTTCTGACCATGTGGTTGCGCAAGCGGGGAAGGCCTGGTGTCAGTTCACTTCCTTCTCAGCCACTCATCTTTTACCTTCGCCACTTCAGGCGCTCACATTAGTTTTTATACTTGAGCACATTAGCGCAAAAAAAGTGCCTTTAGGTGTCACACTCCTTACCGTACAGAGACCACTCTTTCTCAGTGCCCCGGAGGTATCACTCTCGGCATGGAACACCACCGAGACGGATCCTAAATGTTACACCGTTGAGTATATTAAGGAGACACTGAAAGCTATACCCAATCTTCCATTTTCCTTATTGGATGCACTACAGACACTTTAAGGGCACACGCCTTGACTTTAAGTATACCATCGTTTCTTCTCTATGAACCCCGAGAAACGAAATGAACCTTATTACTGCAAGCGGTAAATACATGTTTTTCTATGGAAGAATCCATTTCATTGAATCATTGCTTCTCATTCCTTTTTCCATTTCCTAAAAGCGTGTAGGTGGTAGAGGCAAAAGACAAATGATAAGGCATGGCCATGTTTTGCGGTGACACAATGGGTTTTACATTGCCAATCACCCCTGGCTGAAGCTTTCAGGTTACGTCAAAGTTGGATTCAGCACAAGTCTCGAGACACGGCTGCAGATGGCATCTTTCCAAACCTGTTTCACTCCTGAATGGTACTACCATGCGGTTTTTGAATGCGAAGCAGCAAAGGAGGCGCTTTTGCTCGAGCAGTCCGTTTTGTACTGCCTAGCTGAACGACGAGTACCCAATCGAGAGTTAATACGTACAACAGAGGATGAAGTCACTGCGTTGACTCGCATCGTCGTCAAAAGGCTAAATATTAATGTAGTGGAGAAGGATAGGCCTGATTACTCCATGCAAAACATTACCACCACTCAGGAGAATGAATTCCAGAACTTGGATGATACTTCACAAGTTGGCTTGATCAAAATGAAAACCAATAATAACGAAATGGAGATGACTTGTAGCGTAAATCCATCTCAGTTGTCCATTACGCCTTATATGAAGCTGCTGAATGGCATAAAGGACCGAGAGCTTCATTTGTGTACATCTTCCTTGGATAACGGTGCCCTAGTGGCGCGGAAGATTTCCTGTTCAGGTGAATCCATACCTGAGACATCATCACTCTATGATGAATGGAGTGAATTCGATGAATTAGCAGACAAGCTGTCAAATCTCATTCACGTCGACGCTGAGAATTACACACTGAAGGAACTGCGACCCTACCAGCTAGAAGCTGTTAAACGAGTGAAGCAAGAACTCGAGGTGTGTGGAAAGACCATTTGCCAGATGGCATGCCGCTGCGGGAAGACACCAGTCGCCTTCCACATTATGAAGGAGATTCTTACGCAAAAGCGTGCCGGGGCGAGCGCTCGACTGCTTTATCTCGTTCCAGGTCTTTCCCTACTCCGACAAACGGTTAAGAAAATGTACCATTACGGACTGGAAGGGACGCCTTTGTTGCTTATCGGTTCAGACCCGAACCCGGTTTTTCTAGACTCCAGCTACAGTGTAACAATGACCACGGACTCGGTGTTGATTCACGACATGATCCGAAAAAATGAACGCATTGCAGTTTTTCCGACTTATCACTCATCCCCCTTGCTCGAGCTGATGAACGTTTTCGCGCTCACTGTCTTTGATGAGTGCCACCGGGTTTGTGGAAGTGCGGATAAAACTTCATTCAACACCATTCTTCACCTTCCGCCAAGCGGACTTCGTCTGTTTCTGACAGCAATTTCTACCTATGACACCCCCCTGCGGATGAGCAACGAGAAGCTGTTTGGTGGGATCGCCTACCGCTATTACCTCCGTGAAGGTATAGATTCCGGGTACGTCAATCCTTTTTCGGTTCGTATTATTCTTGGTGCTTCATTAAATGACATGAATCCGTACTTTTTCGAAGCTATGAGCCGAGTTGACAAGATGCTGGTGTTTTGTCGAAACATCCAACACGCCGAACAGCTCAGCAGTGCATTGCAGTCAGCCGTGAATATAGAGAAATCAACAGAACTACAGCCTTTCAGAATACTTGTGGCTCACTCGCGTATGGGGGGCGTGGATGTCGCCGACGTATTAGATCAATTTACCAGGGCCAAGCGCGCCATTTTGTTTAATGTACGGCTCTTTCAGGAGGGCATTGAGATTCTGGATCTGAATGCTGTCTTTTTTGCAGCGCCACGCTACAGCTCGCGCGATATCATTCAGAGCATCTGCCGCCCACTTAATAGACTTCCCAACAAGCCCATTTCCTATATTTTTTTACCAGCTGTAATCAACACCGATTATGCTGCAGATGCTCCTATTAATCTTCAGAATTATTCGACGCTCGTTCCCTTTACGGATGCTCTCATGGATGAGGATCCGACGTTGTTTGAATACATGCTCGACCCGAAAAAGAAGAGCTATGACATCAACGTGGTCGGCGTTCGCTCCCTGAAGCTGAGTTCGGAAGAAATTCAGCGGTTTGTCCTCCCTGCGATTCGGCGGGGCGTTCGCTATACCAACTCTCAGACCGACCGGCTCCATCGCGCCGCGCGTTTGCCATGGAAACAGGTATTCACCGAACTGAGGCGAATAGTCCTGGAGTGCAATCGCTACCCCAAGACCAACGATGCCTGGATGGTGGGTGACACTTCCGTCTCGATGAACCTCTTCTACCGCTACATCCGTCGTGGGTATGCCCAGTACTTGACTGGACAACAGACATTCCTAGAAACGTATCAGATCCGAGACTTGGAGTCCCTTCCGTATTGGCAAATTTACGGCGTCGATGGCCCATACCCTTGGAAGAAATGCCTTCAAACCCTAGAAGATCATTTAGCCAAGTATGGAGTCCCGCCACCACTTGATGTCAATAAGGGTGGCTTTGTCGGACTTGATGCTACACCATTCGAGCGCCTTTCTGGCTTCCTTATGAGAATTAATCAGTCCGACGGCAAGAACGAGCTTCGACTCGACTCAGACAAGCAGAGGGACCTGGACCGTGTCTGTAGTCAATACGGATTGCAGTGGCGAAAAAGACGCAGTAAGGTTACAGGGTCGTTGGTTCAAAATGGCACTTCGTTCATAACGATATTACATAAGAAATACCTCTTACTCTTTAAGAACATCGAACATTTTCCTGTCTTTAAGGAGTACTTGGCGGAGCACTTTCCAGGGTACCCCGAAAAGCATGCAAGGATGGAGAATCTTGAACGATTACAAGAAGGGCGGGTCCCACCACGCCACCAACCACAGCGACGGAGAAAGAGGACAACCGCAATTGGGGATTCAAGGCGTGGGGGCAAGAGTGATGGGAATTACATCGAACAACACACACAAAAAAAGGATTCGACAGTCATGTGCCGGGTTTGCCGAATTCATATCAAGGCGTCAGCGTACCGACTCCACATCCAGAGCCAAGAGCACCTTGCTTGCCAAGAAATGGATCTTTCCACGTTGAAGAAACGAAACAGCACGATAGAAAAGTGTTGAAAATGGTGTAGACTCTTTTTTTTCAATTTACCACCCTTTCGCTGTTAATATATATATATATATATATGTGTTTGTGTGTGTGTGTATTTATAAAAATTCATGTCCTGTTCTAAACATGTTTGGTATGATAACTTTTTTCTTTTTTTTGTTCCAAGTGGGCCTATTGCCCCAGGGTCTTAGTTTGTTCCGTCCACATACTTTACCCATTCTCCAGGTGTTTGCCGATATGTCTAATTTCGTTCGGCGAGGATCGGTTGGTCGTGTCAATTCCTCTAGGCTCTATGCATTTAATCAAACCCTTAAAAAGGATGCCTTGCGGGAACGCTCCTATTGGGAGGTAAGTAAAGATAGCCATCCAATTAATCGCTGGACCTACCGCCGATGGAAAAATCGGAAGGAGGAGCTGGGTGTGTTTCAGGATAAGCTCGAAAAGGTACCGATTGACCAAAAATTCAAGATAAAGAAGCTGCTCGCGGTAGTAAATATTTCAGTTTTGGGTCCCATTGTTTTGGTTGTCTACTTTTCGTTTTGCTATTTGCGTTATTATGTGTGGGGCATTACCCCCGCCGACGGCGCCAGCGCCATTGCTCGTAGTATTCAGAACCTTCCACGTCCCCCCGGTTATTAGTAGAAAGGGGTTATTCGACATGAACTAAACATTCAATCAAAGAAATGCATAAATTTATCTTCATCTGGTATTCTTCCATAAACTGACAGCGTGGCTTTTTTTAACACCTCAGCACTATACCAAATCACCTCCTCTTCCTCCAAGACGCCTAGGTTTCCAGACGATTTGTCTGAATGTCACTTCGTTTTGTATGCGCTTTTTTAGTCGGCGGGGCGGCTGGTGTGCAGTTCAAATCGCGAAGGGCCGAGGCAGAGACGAGCTACCTAACGCCCTACCCAACCAATCCCACTAACTCCCAGGTCTTCATGGACGTTGCCGAGGTGAAAGAAAAGAGCTTTTTCGGTATAAAAGGTCATTCCCAGATTGGCCGCATTGAGTTTGAACTCTTCGACGATACGGTGCCCTTCACGGCGCGCAACTTCCGCGAGCTCTGCCGCGGCGTCCCCAGAAATGCCCCCGGGGGCAAACCACTTGCCTTCAAAGGCTGCGTATTCCATCGGATCATCCCGAACTTCATGATCCAAGGGGGGGACATCACGAATGGGAACGGTACCGGCGGGTGCTCCATTTACGGGTCAAAATTCAGGAATGAGACCTTCCGAGGAAAGGCGGGGCGACACAAGGGCCCGGGCATCCTTTCGATGGCCAATGCGGGTCCCAACACCAACGGCTCTCAGTTTTTTATTTGCACTATACCGTGCATGTGGCTTGATGGAAAGCACGTCGTCTTTGGTCAGGTCACGAGGGGGTTTGAGTTTGTCAGGAGTTTGGAATCGCATGGTACACCAAACGGAAAACCATCGCAAACGGTTTACATTCATGATTGCGGTGTCCTCAAGGAAAATGAGTAGGATTTCTTCTTTTCTGTTGTGCTCACAAAGTTAATGCTCCACCGCTCGCTGATATTTTTGTTCCATCTGCTAGAGCTCAAGGTTTTGATGTTTAGGACAAAATAGCTTGAAAGGTGGGTAAATACTTGGATTTTAATATTCCAACCCTTATTCTGTTACAAATTTTTACTAACCACATATTGGTCAATTCTGTATTCCCCGCCAAGAAGATCCTTACTAGGACTATTCTTATTCAACCCGACCGGATCAACATGCGTAACGTACACCTTTTCATTGTTTCATTCTTTATTTTTTATTCACCACTGGCTTCAATGGGCTCTCATTGAAGTTTCACCTTTACTCCTTCATGGTATTGGAACATACAGCACTGATAATAAAAACTGTAGCACTTTCATGTTTCATTAGGAGTACTTATCGAAGATGTTTCTCAACGTGACTTACAGTCAAAGCATGCAGACATGACACCTTTCGATATGGCTCTGCAAGTCTCATGTACCGTAAGCTGTGGGAGGTACAGTTTATTTCGTCTCACTCATGTCTAGTTTTGCCCGGAACACTATTGCTTTCCATTGCGAATGTAAAGTGTATAAGTTCAACATTAAGTAAACTTTTGAATCAAGCTTTGGCACTCACGTGACATATCGTTTTTTACTGAATTTCAAAAACCAGTTTAATTTGTCATAAAACAGGTGGAAAGAAGGTAACCAATTATTTTAGGTAACATTTTCTTCTTCCAGGAGTACAAGGGTCTTGAAAAGTGTTAAGGGATTAGCAAATGAGCTGAAAAATTGAATCTATGAAACTATCACATTAAATTTAGTTTTGGATGGGGAATTCTCATGTTTGTAAATGGTTAACAATAACACGGTGATTAGTCCTATGGCTGTAAATTCGAATTCACTCATGCTAGCTTATTGATATTTACTTTGAGATTTTCACAGTGGACCCTCAAATTTGTGGAGTGATTTTGCTGTCGTAAGCATAGCATTCGTATACTGTGTAAGGATGAACAATAGATCAAACATGATTGTATATTCAGCTTGTTCCAGCTGTAATATGTTAACGTGATCCTATGAATGGATTCCTTTTATCCTAAA